ATAATATTCTGTATACAACAGTATAAAAACCAGTTCGAATGCTAACATTTTATTGGGACACAGCACCCCAAAATAATACCTTTCAGCAGTGGAATGGTGGAAATTTTGTAAATTTTATCCCATTTCATAAAATTAAGTATTCCATATCTTTGTGCCTCAGTCCCTTTATCTGTAAAGTAAGAGATTTGGGTCTGAAATGTGAACTCTTTCAGCAATAAGTCTTAAATACATACTATGTACATAAAGAATACATATTATTGTATACACACATGCATCTCTTCAGTACACTATGACTTAGATTTGAGTTTCTGAAGAAGCACATTAATTTATGTTTTTCTCCAATTAATGATAGCCTTCACTCTTTTACTCATTCTGGACAACTTGCTTTCCAAATTAATTTGGCTTTAAATTTTCTTTTTCTAATTTTATTTTTTTAAATTATAGTTTACATTCAATATTATTTTGTATTTAAATTTTCTGGATTCACCTTTCTATAGTGGTGGCAACTCACCTTGATTTTTCAATAATTTTTGCTATTGAACAGAAGACATTTCATTGTATGTGTATATTCTATAATAGTTGCTTTGTTACTTTCAGGGCCTCTGTTCATCATTATATACCTTTTTCATTCTTTATTTATTAAATTTTCAATGTGAACAGCTATACGTCAGAAGTGTAAGAACTTTTCTTTGATTTCAACTATGAAAGGTAGCCATAAAGAGGCAGATATTATGAATAATTAGTTGATGATTCACTGGATTATAGCAATCCTTAAATCATCAGTTCATTTCTTTGAAAGAATATGTAATTGATCCTTCAAGGGAAAGTTACCTAGACTGTTAATTATCCAGTCTCTTTTTAATTTGCCTCCCATTGAACTATTTGCTATCATTAGTGCACTTCTCAATAACTGACAATGAAAAAAGAAGTAAAACAAAAATCCATCAGTTTTACTCATAGGTTCTTCAATCCTGCTCCTTTCCCCCTACACTAAAAAATAGGTTAGTTTGCTGAGTCATGGAAGAATCTTAGTTGCATGTGACTCATCTATCTGGACATCATTGCCTTGTGTTTAAGTGTGACTCTCAAGTACATTATAGCGGAGCCTAGTGACTTAACAGTAAGGATAGTTTTAAAGAAGCATCTACACATTGTATGCCTAATCTTTATCAAGCAAACTTGTATTTTTAAACATGTTTAAACTATAGAAAGTATGGAAGAAGTCTGATATGAAATTGGAATAAGTCATTCTGGTTCTCATTTTTATATTTTAATTCTCTATAAATGGATCCATGAAACATATAATTGATGTGTTTTTAATCACACAAATGACAATAAATATAATGCATATCACATAATAGTTGTTTAATACATGTTTGATGAAGCACAGGCAGAAAAGGAGACACTGCAAGTTTTCAAGCAGGCAACTCATAGAGTTAGATCTGTCTTTTAAAGAGAATTTTGGAAGCAGTATTGAAAATGAAGTGGAGTGAGAATTATTCTAAAATCTATGAGGAAAGAAAGAAGGAGGGGAAAATAGAGGAAAGAAAAGAAAAGGAAGACCAAAGCAGGTTAGGAAAAGAGATTGGTGACAAATTGGTTCTATAGAATTGTAATTTGACTCCCAAAGGACAGGTGACAGAGAGATTGGGGCAGAAATAATATTTAAGAAATGAAAAAAAGACATCAAGCCATAGAATCAAGAAGAATAAATCTCAGGCAGCATATTTAAACCACACTAATGCATATTATAACAAACTTCAGAAAACTAAATAATAGAAATCAGAAATCAGTGGAATGATATCTTCAATGTGCTAAGAGAACTACTATCCTAGAGTTCTATACAAAGCAAAAATGTACTTCAAAAAGTGAAAGTGAGCCCAGCTAGTGTGGCTCAGAAATTGAGTGTTGGATCATGAACCAGGAAGTCACAATTCCATTCCGGGTCAGGGCACATGCTCCCGTTGTGGGCTAGGTCCCCAGTGGGGACATGTAGGAGGCAGCCAATCAATGTTTCTCTCTATCTATCTTTCTCCCTCTCTCTAAAATATACACACATACACACACACACACACACATACGTGTATATATATATACACATATATATATGTATATGTATATATATAAAATAAAATAAAAAGTGAACAAAGACACTTTCAGGCAAACATAAACTAAGAGAATCCAACAACAAAGTCACACTAAAGAAATGTTTCAAGTAGAAAGGAAATAACCCTAGAAGGATGCACAGACATACTGGAAGATGTGAAAAGAAATGCAGAGTCAAAGCATAGAAAAGCATAAATGAATATTTACTGTACAAAATAATACTAATATTGTCTTGCAGGTTTTACAATTTATATAGAATTTTACATTCATGACAACACTAGCCCATCCTGTATAGCTCGGTAGACTAAGCAACCTACCATGCACCAAGTGGTCACTGGTTTGATTCCCAGTTAGGGCACATGCGTGGGTTGTGGGCTCAGTCCCCAGTACAGTGTATGCAGAAGGTACCCGATCAATGTTTCTCTCTCATTGATGTTTTTCTCTCCCTCTCTCTTCCTAAAAAATCAATAAAAACATATTTAAATTAGTTTCCCAGGGCTACTGTGTCAAACTACCATAAACTTGGTGGCTTAAAACAACAGAAATGTATTTTCTCACATAACTGGAGACTAGACATCTGGAAAAAAAAAAAAGGTGTCAGCAGAGCCACCCCTTCTCTAGAGGTTCTTGCCTATTCCCAGTTTCTAGTAGTTGCCAGCATTCCTTGGTTTTTCGTGGTCTGTAGATGCATCACTATAATTTCTACCCCCATGTTCACCTGGCCTTCTCGTTTGTGTGTTCATATATCCCTCTTTTTATAAGGATGCCAGTCACTGGGTTAGGGCCCACCCTAATTTTATATGATCTCATCTTAACTTGATTACATCTGCAAAGACCCAATTTCCAAATAAAATCACATTTACTGTTCAAGGGGTTAGGACTTCAAAATATATTTGGGGTAGACATAGTTTAACCTGTAACAACAGTAATAGCACAAATGTTCAGAGAGGAGTAAATGGAGTTAAAGTACTCTACTTTTCATGACTTTTTCAATAAGTTGTAAAAGTAATCATTTATATTAGACTTTAGCAAATCAAGTATAATGCATGTTGGGATCTAGGATAGACACTAAGAGAATAGTATACAATTGTCATGTTCATGATATGTATCATACATTCATTATCATTCAATATAAAATATATTCTAATTTTCAATATATTCTTCTTTGATACATGGGTTCTTTGGGGATAATATATCCCAAAAAAGTGGGTTTATTTAAGGAATGCAAAGTTGGTTTAAGCTTTGAAAATTAATCATCTTAGAATAAAAAGGAAAATGATATGACTGTCTCAATAGATACAGAGAAAGCATTTGATAAAATTTAATATCCATCCATAAGGAGAGAACCTTAGAAAATTAGTATTTGAAAGAATTTCCTTA